TTTGCACTCCTTTTTCTTCCTCCCAGCTCTAACAAGCATCCTTGCCCTTTTACAAGTTAAGGTCATTCAAAGGATCTATACAAGCCAGCAGAACACAAGCTGGACTGGAGATCTTGAAAGGCTCACGCTTACCCTCACCTTTAATAGGGAAGCACCACCCACAGAGACAACACGTTATCCCGGCATGCACCGCTTCCTCCCGATCCAAATGGTAAGTAGCACAAATCAAAAGGACCACAGCAAGTTGGAACCTGTTGTCTCTGCGGGTGGTACCCTGCATCTGTATTGGAGATGAAGGCAGCTGCAATCTCTTCGGCTTTACAAAAATGGGATGCTGCACTTTGGCTCCTGGCTAGCTGCCAGGGAAAAAAAAAAAAACCACCCAAAACAAAACCAACCACCACCACCCTTGTCAATATGAAGTTTGTGTAGATCAAGAAACCAAAGTATTGGAATTTGCATAAAAAGCTAAATATCAAAACAAAGTTGGCATGTTTCTTCTCAGGATGTGGGAAGGCCACAAATACAAATCTTACCTCTTAACCTAGCCATAATTTAAGCTTTGCTTTCTATTGTGGCTCTGAATTACAACCTTGCAATTTTAATACAAATAAGACTATTCAAGGTTTTCAGGAATTCTATCGCATCATGGTTCTCATTTTCCACACACTTTTTAAACTGTTAACAAAAAGGGTGAGCGCTCAAACTACAGGAACAGTTAATGAGAGATTCAGCCTCGGCCTTACAGCGAACTGGAGACAGGAGTCAGTCTGGTGAAAACACACATCACTTCCTAGCTCTCTGGACAGCCCTGCAAACCCCTGCGCCAGCACAACCCAGGGCTGGAGCACGCCGTGGCACCACAGTAGCCGAAGCTGGTGTTGCCAGTAACGGAGTCCGAGTCCAGCTACGCTTGCTGACGCTGCCTTCCTCAAGCATCCGTTCTCCATGTAGGCAGAAGTCACCATCACACCTGGAAACTGCAGGAAGGATCAGGTGCCTGTGCCCTGGCTATGCCAGCGGTCTGGCATCAGAGCGTGAACCTGCAATTGCCAGCTGAGGCACCGTGCTTTGTGCAGACACACAGTGACATGTTCCTTGCTGCTGACTTTGCTGTGGGGCAGTAGCTGCCAGCAAGGGGTGGAAAAGGGAGTAGGACCTGTCTCCTCTCTCTCAGCTGCCCAGCCAGATGCTTCCTGCCAGCGTGCTCATATGCTACACCCGCACTCATTGCTGCAGTACACAATCTTTCTTTCAGAAAGCAAAAACGGTCCAAAAAAAGGCTCTGCTCTAACCCTGCTGAGCAGATCCAAGAAGTTACATGTCAGTTTTGATTTTAAAGTAGATAGAAATAAGTTCAAAACGGAGAATAACTTGCAAAAATGTCCCGGAAGGATTTCTGCTGCCACTCAAGTTGTGCAACATTCTCGACTGGAGAGACTTATTTCCATGCAAGCAGCTTGGCGTGAAATCCCACTGAAAGGCCCTGTGGTTCCTTAACGCTGTCGTGACGTCATGATTTAGGATTTTTAGAGCGATCAGCCCAGCGCAGCTGGTGTCATGGTTGCCATTATACCATGAAACATTGAGTGGTTTTAAATGAAAAAGGTTTCCCCGTTTGAAATTCTTAGATTTCTTCCATCTTACTCTGTGGACTCTTAAAACCAGACCAGTTCTATAAGCAGAGTATAGCTGATATTTAAGCAGAGCAGGAAATAGTGCTGCTTTAACTGAAAATAAATCTGTCAACAAGGAGGCACAGGGAGAGCTCCACTTCAGACTTTTCAGGTTCTTATTAAAAAATATAAATTAAAGTCAACATTTTCACGTTACTTGCTACATCTGTTTGCTATTCCATTATAAATAAAAATATAGGGGCCTCCAATTCAGTGTTGGTTCACTCAAAAAAAAAATCAAAAAGTCCTTTTCATTTAAAACTGCATTATAATTGGCCTAGATTGTAGTGTATTACCAGAAGAGGTCCACAAGAAATAAGCTATACATTACCCAAAGTGAAGCTGGAAGATTAAAAAGACCTTTGGCAGTGTACTATCCTTCCCTTTCTAAAGGATGAAGGACAGCAAGGTTGGGGAAGCACATCCCTATTGTAGGAACCTTGCTGACAGTCACAAGCAGGTCCAGCTCTGCACTCTTTGCAGAGAGAGCTGAGAAACCAGAAAACCCCATAAACTAAACCCTATCTCCAGAGGCCAGGGCAGTTGAGCAGAGCTTTAAAGGAAATCTTCCAAAGATTTAAACAACTCCCCTGTCATCCTGTGCTCCTGCCAACCACCCTGCAGCACACTTTACCTGGGACAGCAGAATCCCAAAGTCCTCCAAGCAACAAAGAGACTGATACCCATTTTCTTATACAAAGGGCTTTATTAAATTCCCTGCCGGAGAACAAAAGCCTCCTGAGCATATAGGAAAACCACTACATTCCTGCAATGTGCACCCAGTGCCGGTCTGTTGATGTGCTGTTCACGTGGCAGTTGCGTTTCAAGAGTAGTTAGCAAACAGTGACTGCTGTTGGGAGTAAGAATCGCTGGTGAGGGCTAAGCTCCTTTGAAAATCTTCTCTCTGCCTATCTACAGTGCTCACCTACCAGGTGATAACTTCAGGTTCCGTGTTTAAGAGATGTGTAGGTTCCGACAGCTTTACCACATGCATAACTGTATATTATTTGCCATAAAGGCAGAGCCAGCCTTCTCAACAGCACGTGTAGTATTAAGTTTTGTAGCTCCAAGAATAAGGGCAAAATAAAGGTGACAGACTGTAGGCAGCTGAACATCTCAGGGCGAGTGACACAGGGACACCCCGCTGTGGAGCCGGGAACACTGTTCCAGACAGAGAGAAGGGAAACCCACACATGTACCCAGGGCACGGAAATCACTTTGAGCAGGCCCATGCTCAAGAGGTTGATGGATCTGAGTGAGCCCATGCTCAAGGTTGCTGCCAATGTGTGCAAATCAGCGCAGCAGCGAGGGCTTGCTGTTTGCTTGCAGTGCCCAGCTGCAGCTGCCTCTGGCAGCACGGTGCTGGGGGCAGCGGGGGCACACCGGCTCTCTAAGCCTCCTCCCAGGCTCACACACATGCAGGGCACTCAGGGACTTCAGACCTCCCACAGCATGGCACAGACTTTGCTCCTGCTTTGCTCTGCAGGCCTTGGAAATCGCCTGCAGCCTATGGCTAGAGATGGGGGTTTAATTCCTGTGCCCTGTAACCAGCAAAAGGCACATTCCAGTATCCCAGTCTGAATTTCCATATCAAACTGTATGACAGTATGAAGAGTTAGGAGGTCTTGTGCCAGGAAGTTATTTAAAGTTGTGACATTCCACCTGCGTGATACTTTCACTCCTCCTCCCCCAAGCCTTCGACTACAGAAGAACAGTTTTTTGTCTGGCAGACAGTTTTCGGGACTGAGAAGACAGAGTATGTGCCGAGGCCAAGACAGCTGTGTCCTTACATAATTTGCTTCTTCATTCATAAAAACACATCACCCTTCACGTCTTCAGCTGAGACCCTCATGTCCACTCCCTGCTCTCACCCAAAACCATCAGGAAAGAGTCTAAGCAAAGAGAATAGTCTCACCACAGGAAAGCCTCAGGCTGACAAGTCACCAAATAGAGTAAGTCAGAACAGTACTTACTCCCTCCAACATTAAATGCCAGCAAAACAAGGTGGGCAAACACAGGTCACCTAATCTTGGCAACCCCAAGTTTTTAGTGGCAAAGATGAAATCTCATGATCTGAGAACAAAGGCACCATGTGAAGGCCTTTGTGTCCATGGTAGGGTCTCTTGTGGCAGCGAGGGAAGGAAGCGTTTAACTTCATTTCTTTCACTTGCCCTACCTTTCCCCTACCCCAGCAACTAACAGCTGGGGTTTGTTGCTAGCAGAGGTGTTGGTTAAATGTCCCAGGCAGATCTCTGTGACACTAGGGTCCCTTTATAAACTCCAGTCTTAATAGACTTGTCTTCTGAAAAACAGCTCTGTAACCACAAACAGGAGAAAAAAACCCAGGAGAAACTGCCTTGAGGACGTAGGTAAGGTTAAAGAAACTGCCTGAGTGCTGCTATTACAAGAGAAGCACCTGGGTGAAAAAAATGGTGGCTGAATCAAGAGCTAAGACAAACAAAAGAGGGAAAGTCTGGGTGAACAAACCAGGGCCTTTGCTGCACCATTCATCAAGGACATTTACCCTACAACTATGAAACAGAGCAAAGACAGTTTCACTAAACAGCGACGGTAGAAACCTTCTGCCATTTCTGGCTGGTTAAAAGGCCACGTTCACAGCCCCGAGATCATGACAGCTTAGCTACTGCTACTCACTTGAACTGCAGTTAAGGAGCAAGGTCAATAGAAGACAAGAATAAGATTAGACCAATCTGCTTGCCTGGTCTAATACAAAATGCCTGCTAAACACCATCCATACCAGCAAGCTAAGATAATAATTTCGTTATTGGAGAGAAGACAGTCAAACAATTATAATTTTATGCTTCTGTTACACAGATTGGCACTTTATACAACAGCCACTGGGGTGGCAGTCCGCTGACAGCAACACTGCTGTGCCAGGAATAGGAAAAATGCCCTTACAGCAGTTTTCCAGAGGAAGGCATTTAACATGCACAGGGAGGGGTCAGGATTTAAGCATATGACCATAACAGACTACCAAGAGTGAAAAACACAACAAGACATTCAGTTAAAAAAAGTTTCCCTACCAGTGTAAAAAAAAAAAACCAAACAAACAAAAAAAAAACCCCTCAACTTCTAACACTAACAAGGAAGTATACTGCATTCAAAGCCTGCAGAGGGGAACATAGTAACTCTTCTACATCCAAGAATAGGCATACATCACCCCTTGTGAGACCCTGGCTATGGTATTCTCAGCTGAAAACCAGCTGTTCAAATAACAAGAACAGCAGGACAGGGTTCTACCTACACTCCCCAAAATGCAATGCAAAACACAACACACAGCAACAGAACTTAAGTGACACTTACTCATGTACTCTGTTGTCTCCATACAAATCACTTAACCCAAAGCTGACGTAGTGCCAGTGCTCAGGAACATTCAGCGCTGGGTTTCCCAGGTTTCTGTACATGCTAACGTAGTCCAGAGGATCAGGTCCCCCCAGCCTGCATTAAAAACAGAAAGATTCTTAAGTTAGTTAGGTTATCCAAGACAAGTGGGAATTGTCCACAGGTGCTACAAGGGGGCTGCACAAAGACCTGCTTTAAAACATAGCTAGTGACAAAAATGAAATTAGCATGTTCAAGTTACCTCTAAAAAAAAAAAAAACGAGGAGAAAGTTTAGGTTAAGTCAAGCACAGGAAGTCAAAGTGCATGTGTGCAACATACTACAATGTTTTTAACGTTAAAGCATAAAAACCTCCAGAAAATCATATTAAAGCTTGCACAAAACAAAGAAAATTGGAAAATTGTACTAGTGAAAGAGCAATAGCTGTATCTGCACTGCAAACTCTTAATTCAGTCCAGAAGCACATACCTCAATTAAAAAAAAAAACAAACCAAAAAACCAACCTAAAATCAAAAACATGACACTATTCCTCAAAGCAGAATTTGAAATGGCTAAGTTTTGAGGAGAGTAATCCATACTTCTGAACATAAACATGACAGTCAAAATAGTGGAGGAGAAAACCATTGATTCGGCAAAGTTACTACCAGAACTTAAAAAATACACTAGCTGCATTAATCAAGAATGAGTCAAAAGCATTGCTGCAGCCTCTGCTTTGATATTAGAACAGGTTCCTTAGAAGAATGTTACTTGAAAGCCAATGGAGCACAGCCACGCTATGTTAAGCGGCAATCACCAAAACCCGCAGCCACCCTTGCCGTTACAAGGCCCAAGGAAGCACGGCTGGCGTGCCCGCAGAGCGAGCACAGCACGCTCCTCCCGAGGCTCGCCCTCACGTCTGCCTGCGCAGAGGCAGGTCAGCTCCCCACCGAAGGAAGGCAGGCGTTGAAGGAAGGACTGTTTTGCTCGCTCTTTGCCCTGTCAATCATAAAACACACAGGTAGAAGCAAGCAAGAAGAGACAAGACATCAAACCGCCTACCACAAGCATTTATGGCATAGCATGAGCAGCTGTTTAACTGTTTCCTGCCTCCAATTCAATTGTTCTTCAAGTAAAAATACTCCCAACTGCTCCAAACAAGAAAATCCAAACTAAGATGACGCCCTTCATTCAAACCACTTAGTACACACCAGTTCCCCTCATCTGCATCGTCTGCTCAGACCCCGACTCTATGATCTGCAGGTTGCAGGGCATGCCTGTGCTTCCCTTGCTAGCCCTGGGGGTTTGTGTATCATCATTACACACACCACAACCGCTGCACAAAAAGTGTTTGAGAACCTCAGTTTTGTTCCCTGATTAAAGTACCGCTGCCTTATATCAAACACTGGCATGCTTGGCAAGAAATACTTTCTCAGCATCTAGCCTGCTCGTCAGCCTCTTGTAGCACCCTCCACTACCACTGCTCCATGCTTCCTGAAAGTGTTTGTGCTTCACATGTGGAGTTCTGTACCTTGCCTTACCAAGAAAGCTCTGGGATGATCAAACAGCAGCGCTTAATTGCAATTATCCCACTTAAAGACAGCACCCTTCTCAGAGTCCCATCTAGCAGCACAGAGGAAATGCTGGCAAGCAGTTCAATCCTCAGGCATGAGTGTAACCAGGCTACTGGTAGTAAAGCTGGACTTATATCTGCCAGCTTCAGCAAACAGACAATCAGTGCAGAAGAGATTTAACCCTGAGCTTGCACCATTACTCCTAGATCACATTCACCAAGTACAGCAATTTCTTGAGGTTCATTTAGGAGAGATCCTTGAGACAACAGGGTTTTTCAGAGCTGTGGTAGCTGGCATTGCAGAACAGAGGTGCTAAAAAGTCACTTTGCAATTCTGCACCGGTCTCACCACAGAGCTGCGGCACCTGGTCGCCTCCACAGGAGTTTCCTTTTGTTTCCAAAAGGCGCCTACATACTCCACACAGATTTCTAGTGGCAGTGTTACACTATGTGAAATCCTCTGCCCACCACCTGCTACCCAACTTTATCAAGTCTGTACAAAGTAATACATCAGCTTCTTGTATTAAAAGGCCTGTGGGCTCTCTCCGTGAGTGTGCTGTGCTGCCTGCCTCCTCCTACTGCAGAAAAAAGCAGAGCAGGGTTATCTAACATGAGTGACTTTCCCTAGGACAGCTTCCCTCCTCTTAAGTCACATAAGGCCACTGCAGTGGCTCCATGCCAGCTCCAGCTTCCCAGCGGGTCAGTCAAGGATGCAGCCCAGGATACCAGGACAGGACAGAGAGGGTGAGCATCCCACCCCCTGTAACAGCACTGAGGTCCACTGGCAAGGGCTAAGTCAGAACTATGCCGCCTTCTCATATGACAAGCAGCACCTTTATGGTGTAAAAGGTAAACCGGCGAACAAACACGGGGAACACATATTAGAGCCTGGGATGGAGCAGAGTTTGATCCTCAGTGGCAGCCTGGCAAAACCCATTCTCGAAGTCTAGCAATAGATTGAGACACTCAGAAAAAAACAAGTCCCCCCGACGCACCACATCTCCACCTGCCCTTCCATTCCTCCTCGCCGGCACCAGGTCACGCTGGAGGCTGTCTGAGATCTCTGCCGTGGATACCTGTTCAGGTGACTGTGTTCAGAGTGTGGCAACAACGCCCCGGCCAGCACTCGGACTCCCCGCAAAAGCAGCTCCCGGATCTGTCATGGAAGCAGCCAGGCGGAAGCAATTCCAGCCGGGATAGTCACTCACCTGAGTAGTGGCAGTGAACAGGAGCAGCCACGCAAAATTAGTCAAAGTTACCAGACTGGGAAGACTCCAGAGTGAAGGAGGTCAATACGCTGACCAGCAAACCAGTGTGGGAGATTAGCAAGTGGTCAGAGCAGATGTGTAGGATTTGCAAGGCAGGGAAAACACCTCCACCTGCTAAGCAACAAGCATCTCACACACACACACAAGACCTGCTTCCAAACTGGGTTTAACGACACTTTAGATGTCAAACAATTCACACTGGAACGCTGCTGACACAGGCACTTTGACACCGACAAACGCAAGACAAACCCTTAGACTGCCCTTTTTCAGGACAGGGACTGCTCCACAAGCACACTCCTCCCCAGGGCTACTCAAGTGCATTCGTCAGGTCTGATGGAGACAGCGAGCAAGTCCTTCCTAGACTGCACCAGGCGAACCGGACACCTCTCCCTCACTCCTGCCAGCAACCCTGCACTTCTCTCCAAAGGCCAAGCCTCTCTGGGGACCCGCAGCACCGCGCTACCCGGGAGGCAGCTGGCTCGGGGGAACGGAGCTCTGCCTCGCTCAGAGCAGACCCGGCCAGAGTTAGCTACCCACCGGTTTACACACTGCACGACAGTCCAGATAGACTGTCTTTACTCCCTGAGAAATTTGGTAGACTCGGAAGAGAGTCAGACAAAAAGCCTGCAGCAGTGACTAACTGAATTTTGAAAAACACATATCCAGGCCATATACCTAACCCGAAACCGCTGCAACTGCAGGAGCATCCAGCACTAGCTTTAAACCAGCTACCTGGAGCACAGCTAGCAACGTACCCATGGCAATAATGCTCAGCAAAGGCTAGTCAGCACAGATATTTATCCAGTTTCGGTGGCAGGTTTCACTGCTACGCTAACTAGTTGGGTGCTGCTAATGCCTGCTGCGGTACATCCTCCCGCCCACAGCCGCTGTTGAAGGGTTCGACCTTGTATCACAATCTACATATCAGTACACACGTTCACACAAAGAGCTGGAAGCGTTGGAGGATTTTATTAGGAAGAGCCCAACTTCAAAGCCAGAGGTACAGTACAAATTTGTTACATTCTCTATTCATGGAGCTCATTCAGGAGCAAGAAGGGCAGCCTCAGGGGAAACCCAGTATTTGCATCTGCACCAAGAGCCTTCTTTTGACTGATGTTAAGAGTGCTCTGAAGCTTCTGTGGAAGGAGAAACCCTACGTGGGCAGAGGAAACAGCTCTGCAATGGGAAAAAAATTGGAAAATTCCCAATCCATTCACCCTGAAAAGTCCTTAGTGGATTGTTTGTAGTCGCTTCCCAGCAGCTGACAACAGGCCTGCTTTTCACAGCTACCTTTTGACAACCCTCCAGAAGTAGTCCGTGATCCCCAAGCAGCTGCAGACCAGTGCACTGGTCTTCGAGTACATGGCCTAAATTCAAGACAGGTGATCAAAAAACCAACAGTCCAATCTGAATTCTGCCTATTTCAAAACCTATCACAAAGCAGGAAAAAGTACAAATTTGGTTTTTTCACCATCAATTTTATGCATCAAGATATTTCATTTCAAGATATTCAATCACATTTTAAAAATAAAAGTGGATACTGGATATCAACAAAGAGAAGAAACTCCTTCTCCGCACACGGCCTTTATAAATACAGCCAGGAAGTTTTCCAAGAAGTTCCGATTGCAATCGCAAACTCTCTCCCAAGATATGCAAATAGTGTTTAAAAAGAGACTAGTTCCATGAAATAATCCATGCAGCTAAACCCCTTCATTTAATAGGTATGCAATTCTGCAGACTCTTCAACATTACGAAGTAAGGATCTGCTCTGCAAGCCAAAGAATACAACTTCAGCTCCCTGAACAAAAAAAATTGCTGTTAATCACAGAGAAACTGATACGTATAATTAAAAGCCGATTAGTGTTACAATATTTCTCCTAAGGCAGGGAACTTTGTTTAGCAATTTCCTCTTCTAATCTAAACCAACTAATAGCTGGCAGCTCAGGCAGAGGACAGACTAGCAGAGAGTGAGCAGTGGCAGAAGTCAGCCTACCAAACTTAACAAAACCAAGCTCCAATTTTCACCTAACAAAGGGAGAGAAAGCACCTGTAGCATCCACATAGGCTCCACCTCACACAAGAATTTCCCACACAGGACAGCACTGAGAAGCTTACCTCTGATTTCTATGAGAGGAGCCCTCAGCTCTCACTGCCGGCTGAGCTGACAGTCAGAAGAACTGCTAAGTGGAAAATGCCAGGATAAACAGGCCTTCACATTACTTCTTACTTGCAACCAGCCATCGCTGGCAATAGCAGTTTTTCTAGTGTTTGAGCTCTA